TGATTTTACTCAATCCTTGCCATTATATTTGGGCAACTCGAGTCGTCATTGCCACCCTCTTCTTTAAACATAGTTATTGCATGTATAATATAGCTTCAACGAGCGGGACTCTAGAGCCTGGATTATTAAGTTGAATAAAGATTAACTTAACACTAGCTTCCTCATGAAACTGACGGATTACGCAGTACTGAGTTTTCTGAAGTCTAGTTACTACTGCGTTGCGACGTCGAAGTCAAACTTACTCTACACAGTGAAGTGAAGCTGTAGCTGAAATTGTGGCCAACCTATTGTTCTTCATATCTATATTCTATATTTAATGTGTATTGCTCTGCTTTCATCGTTCTAAATCTTGTTCTTACATTTTTATGTTTCATATGGTTTATTTTCGACTTGCTGAAAAGCCAATTGCTTGTAACCTATTTAATTTCCCCAGGCGAAGAGTTTTTGATAGTGCTTATCTAAGTCTAGTCTTAATTCTTATTTAAGAATTTAATTTTCCCATATATGATATGTTTCCATTGTATTTCGTCTAAGGTGAATGGATATAAGGCATGCTAATAGCATTGTGGCAAAGTACAACTATCAATCTTGTATTACTTTAAACGAAATAAGGTGAATATATTTTATATATGATCTATTGGTAGTCTCATAACTTAATTATAAACGAAAATAAGTAATTTTCCTACGTTTTACTGAGGTTTAATTTCTACCAAAGCATGAGATATTGTCCGAAAATCTTGCATAGCTCGACAAAAATAACCCATGTTTTATACGAGATTTGAGCAAAGGAATATGCTTAACGTGCTTAGACATCACTTATTGCTCTTATGGTAAATTGACTTATCTGTAGTACCTTGTATCTATGAGGCAAAGCTGATTTTCGAAAAAGGATTTCATGTCATATAACTAAGGAATTCCTTTGATAATTATGGAGCGATGCAAATCGCTTAATTACTTATAACGTTATCATTTCAGATGGGCCTCAGCAATCTCTTCTCATATGCTTATTTTTGCTGTCAAAATCTTTAAATTCATACTCTAATATTTTTTATTAAGGTACTCAACCGTTTGAAACTTGGCGGTGGAATTCTGCCCGATCAGGGCGAAGCTAAGAACGGTTCATTTAAGATATTTCCTCGTGATGAGTCCCCTACCTCATGGCGTATACAGCCTTCCGCCAATTCATTGTATCCTCCACTACTCTTGATCGCACCACCTGGCCACCTATTCTTGTCACGCCGGTGGCCCTCTGACTCTATGTCTGGTGGAAAATCTTACAAAGAGGTTGAAAAGTCACCAGAGGATGCACGTGGATTGCATGGCTACCCACCTGAAGCGGACGACATGCAGACGCCGTTGTTTGTGCTTGGTCCAATGGCTAAGCCAGGCTCTCGATTTCACACAAAGTTATTCTTTTCTTGAAATTTACTATACCGCAACCTAACATTTAAAAAATTCTACTTTAAAGCTGCGTGTC